TGAGGTCTTCATTATGTGGGAAGGAAGGAGAGAGAGAACAAAATCTTAGGAGTGAGACCAGGGAAGCAAATACACAGAGGAGAAAAATAATCACGGAAGCAGAACAGGCACAACGTAGGCTGCAGAAACAGGCAGGGGAGAAACAAATGTAGGGCTTACTGGGTTAGGACATGAGGAGGCAGAGAGATGGCTGGCAGAGAAAAAATTAAGCATGTTCTTACCCACCAGAAGGACTTGCACAGGTATCAGCAGGGAGGAGCTGCTCTTCCCGTGCTTTACAGGATCAAAGAGCAAGTGGAATATTTCTGTGTACGTTTGTACAACGTGTAGCACATGCAATTCCAGTCCTGATTACTATTAAAAGATAGCACAGGTAATTAAAAAAGCATCACATACAGGCCCAGGTAGGAAAGACAAGACAAGGGTTGGCAAACCACTGGCTGACCTAGCCTGTCGCTCCTTATTTTATTCCCATTTATTCATCACAGAGCTTATTAGTGGCATATTATGGAACTGAGGTCATTAAGACTTAGGCTTCTTTGCATCTACTCCAACTAATTTTAAAACCAACTAGCGTATTTTGGTACACTTCCCTTTTGTGGACTGTGCCACTGTATTCCAACCCCCCTTGCCCTTTCTTTTGGCATTTGCATGTGGTCACTGCCTTTAGTAGGGCTTCCTTTCAATATAACGCAATGGCTGGAGATTTCCCAGAGAAAATGTGCTGCTTTTCTTCTTTCTGTGCTGCACTCCTTGCCTGGAGCAGGTGGGAGCACTGCACCAGTTCTGCCCCATGCATGTCACATCAAAAGGACCTCTCTTGGTGTGTGCAAATTGAGAACTGAGCTGCATTAGGGAGAACTTCAAGGATGACAGCACTGGAAAATCAAATCAGCTTTAAAGAGAAACACACAGCATTTAGCTGGCTCTGCACTGATAACAAGCATTTACAATCACTAGATCACGAGAACTGCACCATGCAGGGATAATTGCCTGTTATAAATGGCACTGTAGTAACGAGGAGACCAGTGATCTGTATTTAACAAGATTATACACCACAAATCAACGATAGGGCAGGCATTGCTTCTCTGATTCACTTTTGTCAAAGATGAATGAACACAAGGCAAGGTAAAACAAAAATCGAAACAAAGAAAGCACAAAATATGTGAATGTTTTTCAGGCTAAAAAAATACAGAAATTAATTCTTCTGTAGACTGATACAGCTAAATACAACATAGAGAGAATGGGAGGTTTATAAATTCATCTGGGCCTCAGTGATCCCTCTGTGGGCACAGTATACTGTGAAGGTGATAGGAGCCCTGACCTCTTGGAATTACCAGAGTCCTCATGGGCATTTTACTCATGAGCCACTGGTGCCATTTTGTTGTCCCAGCTAAATTTCAGTTTGGTTAATTATATTCTGACTACTTGATTCCCCAAGAAGCATAGTTGTCGCCGTCTAATTATTTGAAGATGAAACTTTGCATGTTTTGTTAGTGTATGACAGTTATACGTAGAATTTTATGTATATACTGTTTTGCAGGCAAAGATACAGGATTGGAACCAAGGAGCTTCAAACAAACCTAGGGATGAACGCACGTTAGAACAGAATCTGTGGAAATGAGTTGAGGTAAAGGTTGCTAATTGTTAGTGTGAATGGGTGGGAAATGTGAATGTGAAGGAGAGGGAATGTCTCTAAGGGAATAGGTTATGTGATGTGCTTTGTTTCTGCACACATTGCTAGAAAGTTCTCATGATGCTTGCAGTCTTACAGCAATTCAAATTTCTTGCTTTTGGATCTAATATTGAGAGGCTTTAGAATGGGATTTTGGGAAGAGAGGGCTGGCAGGTTATACCAGGATCACAGAAACCAAACGAGCTCCCTTTCTCTATTACGTTGCCTCTGAAAATGCCATGTCCGCAAGCAAAACCAAGAGTGATTTATTTAATTAATCACAAGGCATGACTGTAATTTTATTTCTCATCTGAAAAATGAGAAACATGGTCCCAGCAACACAATGCCCCTCACATATGACAAACCAGGACCACTCTGGGCTACCTCAGACATCCGTGAGTGTAGCCTAAAATTGGGATAATACCTTAGCAGTTCTCATTGAATCCTAAATCTGAGTCCTAAACTGTTTCTTGCACTATCTGTGTTTTCCCTGGCGTGTATCTTATCTGAGCACTGACCAAGCCTGACCTATTTTGTGCAAGATTTGATGAGATCACAGTGCAAGACTGTCTAACTGCAGGCCATAAATTGTTGTACTCCTCCATCTGGTTGCTCTCTGACAAGCGTATGCTTTGCTTAATCAGGGTTACAGACTCCCTATCAGTGCCATCTTCTAGGTGCTGAAAGCCTTAGGAACATGAGCAGCTGGGCTGTAGGGGTCACGTGCTGTGCGACTGGACTTTGCAGGAGCTGGACCAGCTGCACATTGGCTGTGAGGCCGCTTTCTGGTTGCAGGTTTTCAGCTGGAGTAAGGCAGCATCGCTATCTCTTGCTATTTGCAGCTATCTGGGGACTTTCCATGGTGATATCCATACTGAATATTTGATCCTTGTCGTAAAAGTGATACTTTTCGGCATCCAGATAAAATGCTTTACACTGAAAACTACTTTATACCTGATTGTGTGCAGAGGCACATGTAGGTACCTTAGTTTTCTCTTTTTTTTTTTTTTTTTTCCCCTCCCTAATTTTAAAGAGTCATTGACTATTAAATTTACAAAACAGCTTTCCTAAGTGTTAGTAAGCCACGTAGTCCTGTCCTTTCTTCTCTCTGATGCTTCTGACAACAGAAGAATCTCTGGGTATGCATGGCATGATTTGGTCATGAATAAAGGCCAAATAGATATAGAAAAGAATAATAAAATTACACGAAAATAAAGAGTAATAAATTGTTTTGTCAGGGCTGAAAATAAGAGAACCTTATTTGAGAGGCTGTAGTGCTCCTGTCCACTTGGGAAGAGACGGGATATTTCTCAGGGAAAGCAGAGATGAGTTTTGTGTCACAAGATGAGCTATAAGCTGTAAACCAGCACCAGCTAAGTCTCAGTTTTGCAACTAAGTATTGAAAATACACTTTTCAGAATGGTGAGCTGCAGCATGAACCTGGGGGAGAAAACCACTATTAGTTCTGTTCACTGAATGAGATGGGTCTTTTGGAAAGAATGCATATGAGCGTTCAATCAAAGACAGGTGTCAGGATGCCTCTCAACTAATTACTTAATTAAGATTACATCAACAACATTGATTTCGACTGGTCACAACTTTTAACTGCCTAATTTTGCAATTTTTATTTATAATGAGGATTTATAGCTGTGATTTGTGCCATAATATATGAAGTTTTAAGAGGGTTGCTTTTAAATCTACTCATCTTGTTTGTCATAAATATGGCTATTTTTGGTCAAGCAAGAAATGAATGGAATTTAAAATTGGTCTCAGTGCCCTTGACACGCAGGCAACCTTTCCAACACTTTGTGTGCCTGCCAGGATGTCTGAAACTTACAAGGTAATTTCCTCCTGAAAGTGCAAACAGAAACTGATACACGTACATTTATTGTCATGGCTATCATTTATTGAGAACTCACTAAGAACTCATTGCCTTTGGATTACTAATTAAATGCTAATTTACTCACACTGGCTCACTGAATTCCTCAGTCCTATCACTCTTTCTCCTCACATTCTCTTATTCACCCGTGAGCCCAGCTCCTGTGCTTATCACAGTCCTTCTAACACCATGTTTGCAGCTGTGCTCGGAATGAAAGAATTTTGCATTGCTTAAAAAGAAGCTTGCTATGTCTATCTGTTTCATAGCCACTTTAAACTGGCTGAAGACACTATTAAAAAGATAAGTTTTGCCCTTTCTTCCACCTCAGCCCTGCCCCTTCACAGGCTCAACGCAAGGTTTTGGACAACCACACTGTGAACAGATCAGGGAACTGATTCAAATTAAAAATGAACTTGGGCCCTTGGAAAACCATTTGTTTTTCCCAGCCAGATCAGTTCCCCAGGCCTGTTCAGTTTGCAGCTGCACCAGCAATTGTGCCAGCACAAAGGGGGTGGGTGACGTGGGGTTAGGGACGAGCAGGAGGAAGGGGGGACTGCTTTACTGCTGGCTTGTGCAGCCAAAAGTGACACTGAGCTCTTGCACTAGTTCAGAAAAATTGAGAAGAGGTTTCTGAATTCCCCAAGATTTATACTAAGTACTATTTATGTGGGGAATGAAAATGAGGCATGATACCTTTTTATGTTTTTAATCTCTGTATAGAATGGGCTCATTATATTGTCACAAAATATTAACAAAACATGGAAGTGAAAGGCTGCATTTATATGCAATATATGTGATTTTGTTAGTCTTCCAATGGTGTAATTTAGGTGTCTCCTCTTTGGGTATAAAGGAGATAGATCTCTGTCTCCAGATAGTTACCACTGTTCACCAAACCTTCATCCATCACCACAGTCCAGTCCCACCCCAAAGCTGCTTTAGCCTATGGGCGGTGGTGTAGCAGGCTGTGACACACAGCTGCTCGCACAGCACCAGCTTTTAGTGCAGCGGTTGTATGGGGCAACTGAGTGAATCTACCTTCAAAAGTTTCTAAGCAACCCCAGGCAAGACCCAAAGGGAAAATTTCCCTCTCTAGAGCAGCACAATCCTGGCATAGCAGAACTGTGCTTGGTGGCAGTATGCAATTTGCTGGCAGAACTGAGCGACCCACTCTTCCTCCCTTCTTCATCAGTAATGTAATATTGCTGGAGCAAAGTCCTTACATCAGAACCTACAGAGAAAAACACCAATAAAGGAGATAAGGGAGTGCCCTGCTTAGTACTTTTTCTCAGCCCAAACCTTTTGGAGTCATAACTTTTAATAAGGATCTTGGCAGCTTTAGCCAGCTACATTAATCTCAGGCAAGTAATGAATTTTGGTCTGAATCCCATCATCTCAAGGGTAGAAAAGATGAATGCCTTCTCAATCCGATCAAAGACTTCTCTGGCATTTTTAGACGGATTTACAGCAGAAGCTTTATTTAATGCAACAGAGAAAAATACATATAATAATTTTGGAAATTATCAGCTCCACATTTATTCTCTATAAATGCCATTTAATCATGGTAGGCCAGTTTAGGAGAACTTCTAAGTTAGAGTGAAGTGGGTTCTTTGTTTTTTTTTGCATGTGTGAGTGAGTAAGGAAGCAAAGGTAGGTCCCAAACAGACTTTTGACTCTACAGGGACAAACTCATGAAGGGTTCATTTTAGTAGATGGCTGGACATACTGAAGAAGGCATATACAGAAAACCCTCACAACATCTATCTGCAAGGCCTTTATAGTCTACTTCCTCTAGGTTTGTGTGCAACCTACACAGTGCCAGCTCAAAGCTTCTCTTCAGGGTAAGCGATGTTGAATCTTGATGCTCGAGGATGCGGTCAGATCAACCTCTGACACAGAACAGCTGCTGAGGCACTGCGCTCCTTCTCTCCCCCTGCCCCAGCTGCCTGCAGGTGCCAGCAGAGCACTCTGTGGGGAAAAGGGGGGAGAGGAGGGCTACTGTGTCCTCTTTAATGGGGACAGGGCGTCAGGTGAACAGCTCAGCGGCTGCTGTCATTCTGATGCCCCATTCAGATGGCCTTTGAGGCCACAGTTCATCCACCCCATGTGCACCATAGCACTCCTGCTTCTGTGCAGGGCTGAAATACCTTCGCCCAGCACAGACCCAAGCACCTTTCCTGGCAGTGGAAATCAGCAGCCAACTCTGTGCTACCAGGGCTAGCCAGTGCCTTGAACCCAAAGGGGTTTGGAAAACTGTACTGAGCTCTTTGCAGTTATGATAACCTCTTAAAAATACTTCTTACCTTCTCCCACATGCTGTCTTCTGCCTGAGGCATCTTTCCCAAACAGATTTGTGTAACTGCTGAACAGTCTGCATATCCACTTTTAATAATGTGGGGTGGGAGGCTTCTTTAATACCTCACCTATTTAAAGAAGAAGACAAGCCGTGGAGGATAGAGGCTGATAAGTACTGTTTTTACCAGCCAGCCCAGGAAAGAAGGAAATTATGAAATCAAGTATCCTTAGAAAGCCATTATTCTTCCTGACAGAGCTCCTCTCCTCTCAGAAAATACTGCTCATATTTTCCCACGCTAGGGCAACACTATAATGGCTAAAATGAAAATGACTCTAGTGATTTTAATGTAAATAATAAGTTATGTGTTTGATACAATTTAATTAGCCACGAAGCTCTAGTTTCTGGCACAAACCTGGTGAACATAAAGGTGAAGCAAAGTTACTGTGTTTGGTGCTAAACTGTCTCCAGAAGGCACTGGCTAGTCCTGGAACCCCTGTGAATAAGCCAGATGAAACATATGCTGCCTGGCTGAGGTTAACAAGAAATACTAAATCATAATCTGCATATAAACTCTGATTTTAGGGGATGATTGAAAGCTAATAGTAGAGGTAGCAGTTGTCATCACAGCATTTCTTAGATATTTGTTTTGTGATGTAATAGAATAAAAATATGCGATATAATGAGTGTCTTAGCACTGTGCCTTCTAACAAGCTGTTTTTGAGAGGCAGATTTTAAAGGTGATTAGGCAGGTGCTTAGTGAGATTTTTAAAAGTGTCTAAGAGATTAATGTTGCCTTTGAAAATCTTATTAGAAGTTTATCTGCATAAGTGCACCAATTCCACTAAAGTTCAGGCTTATGAGCCTTATAACTGATGGTTTCATTTGATTTTACACTTGATCTGATGAAAAGTCAGACTGTTTCCAAAAAAACCTGCTCATCTCCTTCTTTGTTGCTCCTAGCCCCACGTTGTGTTTTCTTGCAGCAGACTGAACACTAATGTCATTGCACAGTAGGATATGAAAAAAGAAATAATGTCCTCTGTAACATCTTCAGGTAGCACAATTATCCGGCCCAATGCAGAGGAGGATCTCTGTTGTAGGAGTAGCAACAAGCCATATTCCTGGATATACGTGCCCTTGCGCTCTCTGCTTTCCATTTTCCTCATGTTATTCAGAAAGGCTAGTTAGATTCTAGTGGAGTTTAATTAGGGTGTATTACAAGTAGCTAATGGAGATGGAGGCACTGAATGTGCAGAATCCCCAGGTAAGAAAGACACTTGTTGATACTACTCACACGGAGTAAGGGGTTTGGACAGTCACCTGTGAGTTGCACGTCTTAAAGCAGGCAGCAGACTTGCAGTTTTGACTTGGTTGTGTACAAAGGCAGCCCTGCCAGGAGCGGCACGCTGTTTCTGCTTGTTCTCAGGTCTTCCCTCACAACTGATCAAGCCAGCTCTGACCAAACCTCTGACCAACCCTGTCCAGAACAGCCGTTCAGGTTATTAAACATCAGCAAAAGGCCACACCAGGCTATTTTGTTGCCCTTTATAGGTAAAGGAGCATATTAATGCGATCCTCCCCAAGCCTCAGTCTAAGTAGAAAATAATTTAATTCTCTCATACCGAAGCGAACCAACCAGTCAACCCTAACAACAACAAAAGAGGTAAAAATGTGGTTCTAACAAGACACCTGACAAACTGCAGTGCTCCCCTAATTATCGTCTTGTCATATCTGCTTAGTGTGAACCGTGCACTGAATAGATGCTCGGAGCCTGCTGCCCATCCCAGGCCTTCTCCACGTATTTCTCTGTGTGAAACTGGAGCGCTGAGGTGCTGCTCTTGGGGCTTGTCACTACTGCTGCACCCAGACACCTGGCCCTAATTTGGGTACAAAAACAGTAACAGCCTCTTGTTTCTTCTGTGCATTGCTTGGAAATGTCTTCATTACACTGATAGTATCTGTGCTACATTGTGCTCCTCCTGACCTTGGGCAAGCCATTTCAGTTCTGTTTCTTCAGACTCCTCGCACACCTGGGAGGATGGATGTGCCAAGCCAGGGCTGCTCTTGTTCCCGTAATCTGCAGGGCCTCAGTCTCGCTGTGCTTTAAAATGAGGTTAATGCCATACATAGGGCTTCCTATGCAGGTGAAAGCGTACTGGTGTAGGTATAGGTGTGATTATGCCAGTACAGATGCATCACGCGTGATCTTTTCTCATGTAGAAAAGTCTTCCACTTCATGCTTCGCATCTCCTTCCAGGAATGACGATTGGGTGAAAGCCAAGGTATTTGTTAAAAAAAAATAAAAAAAAACATGTTTTATTACACTCATATGTGTGCTGTGCTCATCTGAGTGAAGATTTGAACAGCCACAGCTGGTAGCGAAGCTCACCTTCCCCGAAGCGGGCTCCACACATTCAGCTGGACCCACCTCGGAGCAGATGCGTGCAGATTCAGAGTCTGGCTCCATGTCAGAGGCCCGCAGGGGTGAGACCTCGTTCCCCTACCCCAGCAGCCTCACGCACCTTCACCTTCAGCACTCAGGGGGGCTCAGGGGGTGAATCCCCTGCGAGAGCCAGGGGCGAGCAGCGCGCTGCCAGTGACTCGGGCCACTTGCCAGCCTGCCGCTGCTCGCCCTGCTCCCGGCCCGGCCCAGCCCGGGGGGCGGTCTCTGGGAGAGGATCCCTTTTGCCGGTCTGTCCGTCCATCCGTCTGTCCGTCCGAGCTGGGCGGCTCCGAGCTCCTGACGCCAGGCTCGGAGGCAGGGCGAGCGCGGGGCTGCCCGGCGGCGGCGGCGGCGCAGCGAGCGGGGAGCCCCCGCCCGGCCCGGCCCGGCCCGGCCCCCTTCTTCCCCGCAGCCTCCGACAACTTGGCCGGCCCCGAGCCTCAGCGGGCGGCTGCGCCCTCCTCGTCCTCCCCTCCGGCCTTCCTCCCCGCGGGGGTCCCCGGGCAGGGCGAGGCCCCGGGGAAGCGGCTGGGTGCCCTCTCCTCGCCGGCATGATGGCGGCACGGCCCGCCGGGGCGCGGGCTCCAAGTTTCTGGGTAGGTGCCGCCGCCGCGGGCTCGGGGGGACGGGAGGGAAGGGGACCCCAAACCCCGACCCCGACCCCGATCCCAACCCCTCGGGGCAGGGCAGGGCAGGGCAGGGCAGGGCAGGGCAGGCTCCTGCCTTTGTGTGCTGCGGGGAAAAAGCCCCGGGGCTCGGAGGGAGCGCGGCTGGCCCGCCTCGCCGCCCTTCTTCCCTGCCGCCCTTTCTTCGCGCGGCCCCCTCCCCTCTTTTCCCCCTTTTTCTTTCTTTCTAATTAACGTTTAAAATGAAAAATCTCTGCTCGGAGGTCAAGCAAAGTTCACTTTTTTTTTTTTTTTTTTTTTGTCCTCCTCCCTGTTTGGATGCCCGAGATTTTCCCCTCCTCCGTCTCGTTTCTTCTCCGTGTGCCCGAGCCCTCCTGTCCCCAGCGCAGCTCCCCGGGGCTGCTGGAAACGTCCTGCTGGGGAAACACTCCGTCACGCCGCCAAAAAATGGGCCAAATCCCGGCTTCTTATTTTTGTTTCTTGTCAGCTGGAGTCGGTGGGAGTTGTGGCTGAGGAAGGACTGCTGTGCTTGCTCTTTTGTTAGCAGATCAGTCTGGAGAAGATGCGGGGTCTGACCTTATACTGTGCCTTTCCGGTGTACGGATGATCTTTAAGCTGTAATTGTTATTTTGGTGTATTTTAGGACAAAAAGGGCGTTCGCTGCATGTAAAACGGGGGCTCGGCGTTATCTGGGGAAGGAGAGGGATTGTTGGATGGAGGTGGGGAGTAGATGTGTGTTCCAGATAGAAGCAAATGGCAAAGATCTCTGCGCGGAGCATGGCATTGTTTAATGGGTGTCAGCGCGTAAAGATACCACATCCAGAAACTAACGTGCTGAGGGAATAGCTCTGTTTCACGCGTGTCGGAACTCACACCTCAAATCTCTTTTGCACAGAGGAGAGCAGTCAAAAAGAGAAAACTTTGATTCGTTTTGTTTTCCCCCAATAGTTCAGCGTGTTTTTAAGCAGCACTGGAGAATAAGACTGAAAGCTGCAGCTAAGCCAGCCCGCAGAGACTGCTGCTCTCCCCAGGCGTGTGTCTGTAGCACATTCTGCTGGTCCTCTGCACCTTGTCCTGTCAAACAATAGGAGCAAATCATGTGAGGGAACTTGGGGTGTCAACATCGACTTTATTTTTTTCCTTTTAATTGTCCGTAATTGCTCGGCTGAATTACAGGAGATTAGTTTGTTAGTTGCAACTGATTAATGTTCATTTTATTTTTCCACTGAATCGGAGAGCAGTGCTGTGGAGCTTGTTAGCAGTTCCCGTTGGATTTCAGTGCGAGTTTGGAGTACTTGTTTCTTCACTGGGACTGGGAGATCGTTAGTATGATGATGAAAGCTCCCTAGCCCTTTTTGGAGTTCTTGCCCAGGTCAGAGGGCAAAAGAGATCAAATCCTTGCAGCTTACTTCAGACTGTAAGTAGGAGCTTGAGAGAAATTTCCCTTCAGTTGGGTGATCCAGAAGCCTTCCACAGCCACTGGAGAGGATCAGTTCCAGGCACGATCGGGTTACCCTAAGGGTAGGGATTTGTCCTTGCTTCAGTTTTGGCCCCGTCAACCGCTAGGTATGTAATCAAATACATTTTTTCCTACTCTGTCCTGTTCAGCTTTCCTTTTTGTCTACCCTTGAAGATGTGATGATCCAGTACATTTGAGAAAAGTGACTGAATGAGCAGATGGAGATGTTTCTGTTTCTGGATAAATATTAAGTATCAAATCAGATGTTTGAAAGCTGATGAGTTTAGCTTTGGTGTTCCTCTGTAGTCTGAACACAAAGTAAGGAGTTGAATGTACAGAAGTAATACAAAGGTTCAGAAAAGTATTTACTGTGTTCTAGAATAGTGGCAATATATTTGGATTAAGTTGTGAGTTACGTTGCTTGGTATAAAGGTTTAAATTTCAAACATGAAGGGCTTGTGACTTTTTTTTTTAATTGAAGTATGAATGCGCTGTATATCACATATGGCTGGTGGTGTGCTCTGTGAAGTCCAGGCTGTGTGTGTAAAATAAAAGCTTATTTGAGTAGTCTTACCAAGCCTAATGGAGGCATCATCTCAGCTTTATAAATAATGTAAGTTGTGTATAATGTGGAGTCCCCAGAGACTGCAGAGAAAGCATCATTACCAGCCTTTTCAACCTGCTGGAGATCTTAAATTGATTTACAGCACTGAACTGGTGCAAAATGATACATCAGGATGACATGGGGTCAACCTGTAAAAGTCTATGATGTGAGCCCGTTAGTTCAGTCATCATAATTAAACCGTATTATGAGGGCAGCAAAGCAAGTGTCTGTGACACGTCCCATTGTGCTTCAGATATGGGTGGTTTAAGAATCAAATACAGAGAGCACCGTGTTTATTATTGAAGTTATGCAAAGAGTAGCTGAAATTAAAGCTTGTGGTGCTGTGAAGAATAAATACTGAACCAATTTAGGCTGACTCTTCACCTCTTTCTTGTAGTCATTAGCAGCTGAAATAGATGAAGGCATGTGCAGCGTGGAGGTGTGTGTGTGGAGAAGTGATTGAGTGAACGTCTCTGAATTTTATATATTCTTTCTCTAGTCTCAAAACCAATTAGACTTTACCTGCAGACTGCAGATTAGATATCAAATGGACAAACAGGCAAAAAAGCTAACTTTTTTTCCCCTCGTATTTTTGTCCTACGAAATGCTTTAACTGCCTGTGGAAACATTCTTGCAGATCCGAGTTCTTTTATAAGACAGAGCAGCTTAGTCATAACTTGAACTATATGACCAAACTTATTTTAGAACAGAGACTGTAATTTTGAGTATGGGTTGGCATAGATCACCCTACTTTTCTTAGTGGAGGCAACTGCAAGCTTCTGATTCATGTTTCTGCTCTAAATAGCTTAAAGTAGTGTGCCACAGACAGTAAAATGTTTAATGTATTACATATTACACATCTTAGGTCTTGCCACTTCTGCTGATAAAATCACTACGAAGTGTTTTGGGGAAAATCTTGCTAAAGCTCTGTTTCTTTTTTTCCAGGAGTCAGCGTGCTAGTTGGAGATTTGAGGGTTTTGGATGTCTTAGTAGTTAAACCAACTTTTCATACCTGAATTGGTGTGAACTCTGCTCTAAATCTCTTGACTTTCTCCCCTCCAAGAAAGTAACCTATCTTCTTTTTACTTGAGGGTAACTAGAAAGCTAATTTTGAGAGAAGCAAAGAAAAGTCACTAGTGATGAAATAACTGTTAGCATTCATCTTCAGTTACATCTCAACAAGATGTGCTGTAGCTGAGACGCTTTCTGATGGGTCAGTAAAAGAACCGAAACTCGCATTTGGGTGCAGTGCCTTCTAACACGTGGGTATGGAGCTCTCTTCTGCTGTGTCAGTGCAGGTGGATTAATGGAATGACCTAACTGAAAACAAGACCATACAAATCTGTGAAAAAGAAAATGGGATTTCATGAAATGCTTTATGGTTAACAAAGTGGTTCTACTGATGATTTATTTTATTCTATCGTTTTTTAAGTTGTGGCTTAGGTTTTGATGACAGGCTCAGGTGAGTTTGCAGAGGGGGGAAAAGTCTGTTCTGTTCTGAAAAATTTGTTTCCCTCTAGTATCTGCAGGCTAGTATTGTTCCACAGGCCTTACATTTATTCAAAAACCAGAATGTGTGCAAGTCTTAATAAAGAAGATACACAGTTCCTAGAAATTTACCTTTGAAGTTGCTTTAACAGAAAAGTTTAAACCATAAGCACCAGTTCGGCAAGTGTAGCCTGAAATGCTTGTGATTTAAAGGCTCGTCTACACAGGCATCTTACGCTGCACCATCCATTTTGCACCAGCTACAACGGTGTAACTTTAGAACAGCATAGAGGATTTTCATGTTAGTGTTTCTTGCTTAGGATGAGAGTCAAGTTATTTTAAAGTGGTACTTTTTAAAACATTGATAGAGCTGCATCCACACAGACTGCTGTGTAACAACTATTTCCATGAGAATGTGGCTGTTCCTCAAGATTGCAAACAACAAGGGAAAATGTTAGATTAGGCCTTTTGTGAAGGACTTTGCAGTGGGTGGGTTCAGGGGTGATGAGAAGGACACTCTGAGCTGTTAATGGCTGCCACAAAGATCTCTATCCTCCTCTGAGAACAAACGTTAATTTGCATTAGAGAAGCTTTTTTGTTTTGTGTGTATTTGAATGGGGGTGTCGTTGTTTTTTAACAGGATAGAGAAGCCAAACATTTCATAAAACAAGCAGGCTAATTTCAAGGAATGCAAAATGTTTTCCAGAATGAAGCCAGGTTGTACAGGATCTGTTCCCATTTCAGCTTTTTGCCTGCATGTGTTGGCTTTGGAAGTGCATCCTTGCTGAATGGGAGCAAAGCTGGAGCACGCTACTTCAAATTAGATTGGGAGGTGAAATATTCAGCACACATAACACTGAGCTCTACCCAGTTGTATAGATAGGTCAATTTTTGCTATTTATTTTTCCTTCTGTGGAAGGAGGGACTTGCCAATGCGGAGAACTTGACAAGTACAGCAATTCTGGACACTTGCACAATGTGGTCATGCTGATATAACTCTGTAGCTGGCCTGGGCCAATGTTACTTTTATTTTGATATACCAACATGGTGGAGTATACCCACATGGGAGTAGGATGTTAGAATAGATGTCGCCCATCTTTCTCATTTTGTTCTACCCCCACCCTTTACTTAGCATGCAGAGGCAAGGTCTAAAGTACGAGGAGGAAGACAAATTATTT